CAGTTTTTTTTTTAGATAGTGTAATTAAAAAGTGCAATATTTTTATGAAAATTTGCAGAATTTTCTTTGCAAAAGAATTGGAACTCTGATTTTTGGGCTATTTTTGTAGAATTAACCATATTTTTATAGAAATTTGAGAAAAATAAAATAATTAAAAAGCAGTTCCCTGTATTGCAAACAACTCGCTGTACTTAAACTTTATTGATTGACTGTACATACATATGTACGTATATACGTAGAGGTAGAAAGGTGGTAAAGGAAACTTTGGAAAAAAAACTAAACGCTTGCTTGCAATATATACCTACAAACAGTGACTCAAACAAATGAGTGTTAGTTTTTTTTTTAAATATTCGTATTTTTTTCCAGCTAATTTTTTTTGTTATTTTTATATAAAAATATCGTCGAAGCTTTAACCATAACCGTGTCAATTACAGTTTCAAACTTTATACAAAATTTAGGAAAATTCAAAAAAATTGTATCAAAATTTCAACATTTTATTCTGAATTTTTAGAAAATTTTATATCCCATACAATTTTAGTCTAATGAAGTGCTACTTTTTCGGGTTTTTTAATATAACAAGGGCAATTTACAAAAATATGAGTTCATATTTTGAAATTTTGTTGCTGACGGTATCCCACGTTTTATCTCATAAAAAATTTATACTTATATGAAAAAAGGTGCAAAAATCCGTCACCAAAAAAAAAATATTATCAAAAATCAACGCGATTTTTTGGCCGTTTGAAATTTCCACTTCATTAGACTAAAATTGTATGGGCTTTAAAACTCCATGCCAAAAAATTTTGATGAAAATTTGTTGAATTTTCCTAAATTTTGTATAAATTTTGAAACTGTGATTTACACGGTTTTGGTTAAAGCTTAGGCGATATTTTTATATAAAAATAACAAAAAAAACGTAAGTACGCCTGGGCCACACTGGAGAAGCCGATATACATATGTACATGCTTTTGCTTAAGGTTATATTTTTTGTCTTTTTTCTATCTAGATCCCTACCTCTACCCCTGTTCGTTCTAATTACATTTATGTTATTTGGTTTTCTTTTATCTTCATTTTTATCTTTAACTCTATCGAAAACAAAATCGATAGTAACATCCAACAAATTATAGATAATATAATCGATAAACATATCGATAAATATTATATTCGATAAAAATTTCGATAGCAAAATCGATAATAATATTGGTAGCAAAATCGATTAGAAAATATATAAAAATATCTCTTTAACAAATATCGATAAAAATATCAACAAAATCGATAAAAATATCGATAGCACAATCGCTAAGAATATCGATAACAAAATCGATAAAAATATCGCTAATGAAATCGGTAAAAATATCGATAACAAAATCGAAAAATATCGATAACAAAATCGATAAACATCGATAACAAAATCGATAAATATCGATAGCAAAATGGATAAATATCGATAAAAAATCGATAAATATCGATAACATCGATAAATATCGTTAAATAAATCGATAAATATCGATACCAAAATCGATAAAAAAATTTATAAATATCGATAACGAAATCGATAAAAATATCGATAAAAAAATATCGCTAACAAAATAGTTAAAGATATCGATTACAAAATCGATCAAAATGTCGATAACAAAATAGATAAAATATCGATTATTATATCGATAAGTTCCGATTATATCGATAGAAAAACAGATAACAATATCGATAAAAATTTCGATAATAAAATCGATAAAAATATCGATAACAAAACCGATCAAAATATCGATTATTTTATCGATAAGTCCCAAGAATCCCGAAAATCTCTAAAATCCCAAAAAAGTTCCCAGATCGAGTCTCTGTGTCTCCCTCTATATCCTTTCCTCTTTAATTACCTTTATTTTATTCTTTCTTCCCCTATCTTCATCTTTGCTTTTATCGGTATCCTCATCCTCCTCTTTGTCTTTACTTTTATGTTCATAATTTTTTTCAGCTACATATTCCCCTTCACCTTTGCCCTTATATAATTGAAGTGTTAAAATTTACCTTGGTCTTCATTTTTGCCTATATATTTACGCATCTTTGTTTTAGTTTTTATTTTTACCTTTGCCTTTATCCTTTTCTTCATCTATGTACGTATTCACATTTACTTTCATTCTTGTATTGCTCTTTTTCTAAGTGTTATTCTTTAACCTTTTATTAGCAAATTTTTGTTAAATTAACACCATATGCATACACACAAGAAGCACTTGTTTCAGCCCCAACCATTTCCGTTGCGCCATTTCCGTTGCATCATTTCCGTCCCAACAATTTCCATGTGAAATTTCCGCTGAATTTGCCAATTTACTCCCAACCAACCAACCGCCGCTAAAGAAGTTTCACTTCAAAAATTTGGCTCGAAAAACATTACGAATATTTGAAGAAAATCAACACAGGGTCATTTGTTTGAGTCACTGTATGTATGTGTGTAAGTAAGTACGTTTAGAGGGCGACCATAATAGCGTCATATGCGGATAGTAAAACGGAAGGAAAAGAAAAAATGTCGGCATGTTGAAAGATGTCAGCTGATGGTGCGGTGAATGTGGCAATGGCAATGAAAAATGCCGAAAGAAAATATTCTTACATACATATGTATGTATTTGTATTTATGTACATTTGTATGTTAATTTGTTTAGGTATTTTGCTTGTGTTCTTCTGCTTAAAGTATTTACTTACACTATGTCATTTACGCCCGTGGCCCATTAACACAATTCCTCCTTCTTATGGAAAAGGTAGCCAAAATGCTTTTGATTTGTTTTTTTCTGGAACGAGTTAGAAACCTTTAATTACATTTAAAGTTACCTCAGGTTAATTGACACTATTTGTGGCTTTTTGAAGTTTTACCTATTGGACCACAAAATTGCTTCAAGTACTAAATTTAATTAGTTAAATGTGCAAATAGCGAAAAACAAAGGCTAATTAAAGAATTGTTGGTGTGGCTTGATCGCAATGGCAGAGTAAGAACAGGTGCACGTCACTAATTAAAAAACTTTTAATTTAATTCTCATTTTCGTTGTTGGTATTTCCGACAGTGTAGGAGTATGATGTAATGTGGAACGATTTTCCGAGATGACATTACATTTAGATTTAATGGTTCAGAGAAAATTTAAATAAAACCAGTAAAGTAGTTTAATTTCGGGGCAAAATTAAGCTTTAAATATCCGTACTAAATGTTGTGTTTTCGTCTTTCTGAAAACTTCCGTTACATAGTAAGCAGGGGTGGCTTTTCCATGGCATCCGTTGTTAGACTAACAAGGCAATTCCGGCAACGTCTTTTAACACACCACAGTCTTTCGAAGGACATTGTCTTAGCATTGTGCTGCTCGCCTTTTAGTAATATATATATTTTTTTTTTAATTAAGTTAAATTAAAAAATTTAATTAAACTCAAAAAATTAAAATAAAGCAAAAATAAATAAAAATATTTTTAAAAATCAAAAAAAAATTATAACAATAAAATCTAAAAACTATATTAGGAAACGAAAAATAATTAAATCAAAAACGAAGAAAATGCTTCCTAAAAATTAAAAAAATATATTTTTATTTTTAAAACAAAGTCTAAATATTAAAAGAAAATTAATTAAAAAGAGACAAAAAATAAAGTAAAGAAAAGTAAAATAAGATCGTAAAAATTAAAGAGCTAAAAATATATATATATATTTAAAAAAAATATATATTTTTGTAACAATAAAATCTTAACCCAAAAAGAATATTAAATTTAGAAAGTAAGAAATATTTAATGAAAACATAGCAAAAAAATTTATGGAATTAAAAACAAGAAAATTTTAAAAAAATAAAAAAATTAAATAACACAAAGTTTAACAAATTTAAGAAATTAAAAATATATAAATTAAAAAAAAAAAATTGTATCTAAAATAATCGATGCCCGGATCTCTCAAACTGCACGCCAGTGCTTAGAATAACAAAAAGCTGTCCAACTGTCCAGTCATCTGTCTTTAATTTGCCTTACGAAATACTTTTTACTATCTTAGTCAGAATTGCGTTTTTAAAGGAATGAAAGAAAGTATTTTGTAAGACAATTGACAGGTTTGAAAGAATCTGAGTATTCTGCCACGAGAGTCTTACAGAAAAAACTCCCTTGTCAACCTTCATGGTAAAAAGCTCTATTGACTTGTATATCATTTTGCTCGCGGTGTTCCAACAGTGGCAATGGCCAAGTGAGCAAAGCACGGGTTTGCCATTGGAGTGATCCGAGGTTCAGGCAGCAAAATTTTGCCTGGTTTTTTTCAATTTTTTTTTTTCTGTTTTTAATTTAGATTTCATTGTTTTAATATAGATATATAGTCACTAGACACGAATAAAGGCGCGAGCTCAAAAGTTGACGGCGAAAAAAGACGCATAAGAAAACTTCAGCGTCAAAGACTCTTAACATATTTCGCCGAAGTTTTTCATAAGCATCTTTTTTCGCAAAATTTTTTACGCGCCTTTTTTCGCCGTCAAAACACTAGCGCGCCTTTATTCGTGTGTAGTGACGATATATATATATATTTTTTTTTCATAACATTTTTTGAAAGTTGTTTTATCTTATATACTTTTTTAAATTTAATTTTTAGATTTTACTCGTTTCTCTTTTCAGGAAATTCCCAATAATAAAACCCAATTACTTTTTTAACCATTTTTTCATAGTGACTATATTTTATAGGTCCGCCAAAAGCCTTAGAAAATGCCAAAAAATGCAATAGGGGATAAATAAAATATCTTTAGTATTAAAAAATGGTTACATAAACAATTTGATATTGTTGTTGGAAGTCTCCTGAAGAGAACCTGATTTTTCGGATTGAAAAATATAGATTTTCAAGAATTCCATACCATTTCCACGAAAAGTGTTTTTTTTTCGTATAAAGTACATGGAAAACTTTGGGCGCTTTGAGCGACCTCTAAATATGTTTTGGTTTCAAAATAAAAAAAGGGGTAGACTTTACTTATTTTGGACCACCCTAATGTATATAGTCATGCATTCCGAAAATCTAAAATAGTCGTATTTCTTGTTAACAGTTACTTAGTTGTAAGTATTAATTCAGAGTAAATAAGGATCTTTAGTTATTGAAATATCAGTTTTCGTGTTTCTGAAAATTACGGTTACATGGGAAGTGGGCGTAATTAGTGACAGATTTATTTGGTAGAATTCGATAAGACAGTACCGACATACACATATGCAGACATACATTTTCAGAATAATGCACCTCATTCAATGGTTTTGTTAATAACATAGTTTAGGCCGAAATAATTCCCCATTACCCTGCGACTGAGCACTTTGCTGTAACCGATTGTTAAATTAAATGAATTTTTTTTTTTGTATGAAATATGTGAGCAGGAAACAATTACTCATACGCCACGTATTCCGCGTTTGATCAAGCTTTATACGAAAACATTAACAACTGATTTTATTTTGCAAATAAAACCTTTTAAACCTTTTAAATTATACCTAAGTATTCAAGTTTCAAGACCCTATAAATTATGATTTGTTTTGATGACACTACTTGGCATTTTCTTCCATATATGTAAAAGAAATTTTGAGCATAATTTACATGGAAAAAATTATTAAAATTCAAAAATTATTAAAAAACAACGCGATTTTTTAACGTCTTGAAACTTACACTTTAGCCTACAAAAAAAGTTTGAAATTTTGGTTAATTTTGTTAAATTTTTATAATTTTTGTACAAGGCTTGAAATATGAATTTATCGTGTCTTTTTTTGACTATCGTAATTATTATATTTTTATTCTACATCAATAATCTATGTACATATGTGCATACACATCATTGGAGGTTAAAGTTAGAATAGTCTTTACCAAATAAATCCATTACATTTTCAATCAATAAAATTCTATTAAAACTAACTTACCCGCCATTTCTCGACAAACGCGCCCAAGAGCGTATGCGCAACATTAGTTCCTGTATTTTTGTGTTGCGCTCCACCTCATCCTCCTCCTCCCACTCGTAGTTGATTGCAGCATGAGAACTCAAATCATGATCTTCATTGAGATTATCTGTAATGCGAAAAGTGGGACGTGAGTTAACGCTTTCCATGACGCAGATGCAATTATTTCAATACACTTCCACTTCACTTTCACAAAAACTTAATCTGACCACGAACGCAGACATTTTCTAAAATACAAATTTCAATTTTTAACTTTTCTTTAGAATTCGCCAAACTTTCAGAAATTTTCAGAATTGCATGTGTCATTGATTGTAGCCATGCCATTTTCATTCTCACACATAACACTTTCGATTGTTTCGTAAAAATAACGCTTAATCTAATTAAATTTTGGCAGCTGATGTCGGAAATTATTTACAAAAATACAAGGAAACACTTGTATGTATATTCAATTGCGCGCGTCGTTCAATCAACTCACAGCAAAAAATATTTGCTTATATCGTTTTTGATATAAATGGCCAAACATCACTCGCGCCAGTGTTTTGGAAAAAATTGAAAAATCATTATTGCGATCTGTTTCTCTTGGGAATATGAAAGCGAAAATTTTTATGAATTTTCGCCAACGAAATGCCATGACAGACTAATAATTTGACCAGCCAAGACGGAGCACCAGAGCTGTTAACATTGCCAGAATGGTCTCTTGTTAGGCGATGACGTTAGTTTCCCTCCTCCATCAAAAAAATATTGTAGCCACACGCAAAACGTTAATACAAAATGTGTACATAAATATTTCTCATAAACATTTGTAAGTGGTTTTACTTAATACGAGCACACATGCGTATGTATGTACATGCCTACTTGCAGATGTAACGAGAGAAAAAGTGTCTCACTTTGATATGTATGAATGTGAGCAGAAAATATGTTAATACCTTTGTTTGTCGTAAAAATAGAGAAAAGGTGGGAAGCACACATGTGAAAGGCAGTGGAAATTCGAAAAGTATGTCTAAATCCATAAGTGTATTTGTTTATTTGTTTACTTGGTGCAAATACATATTTACATGGATATCTTATGTATGTATGTATGTGTATACCTGATTTTACTTGAAATATGTATAGGGTTGATTGATATTTGAATCACAATACAAACAGTTAGTTATTTGAACCACTGGTTGTAGCAAAAAAAATTGAACTGCGACCTCAAAGATATTTTGTTTGCTTAAAAAAGTCGCTAACCCTAAATATCCAACATACCTACTTTCCTAATAAATGCTAAAAGGAAGAAGATCTTTTGTATCCCTATAATACATAGTTCTTAACCCTGACGGCCCAAGATACTATCTGCCTCCCTAATAAATGCTAACACTTTCTTGGTAGATGAATTCCCGTCACTAACCTCATCGACTGTGGAAGAACTTAAGTAATGCAGTCTAAGTCTGGTGAATGCCGGACAGTCACAAATACTGTGCTCCGGCGTCTCCCGCCCTTCAATATCAAGACGTCAATCCGTCTCTGTGGATGCGCCAATCCAATGCATGTGAGAGCGCCGGTTATAATGGCGTGTTAAGGCTAGCCGATATATATTAACTATATATTTCCTAGCAAAAGGATAACCAAAAAGTTTAGCATTTCTAGGTCCCTACCTCTGCCCAAGACTTACTGCATTCTTAGTTTACTCACGTTTTTTGAAGGTTGAGATTGCTAGTACCTCGGTCTGAAAGGCCGTGTACTAAATACCCTTTGCAATAGAAGGTTAGGTGCCAAGTGCAAAGACCTGCTCTGCCCTCCAACTTGGAACCATCTGTATAGCAGTGTACATATCTGGTATACAATTCAAGTAAAGCATTTTTTTATTTTTATCTAGTTCCATTAGCATAGCGCCGGGCAGAGCTGTAAAACTGTGAAATCATATGAAATTAAAAATCATCAATTTTATGTTATTATGTTTTCATTGAATTTTTCCTTGTTGGGGAATGTGGCTTATAATTTACCAATTCTACATTCACTCAAAGTAGATACGATTGCACACATTAACATATTCAAAGAAAGATTGAAAAAACTGAATGACGAAACATTAACTTTTAACACTGAATAAGCATTCAGATGAATGCAGCTTTTGCTATGTGTGCACACATTCATTCAGTACCAATCAATCGATATAAATATTCTAAATACACAAAACCCACTGAAAAATACGCAAGGTTGAATTTTATTGAACAGATTTCAAAATTTCAACTCGGAAAAATAGTTTATTGAGCGTTATCATTAATTTGTTTCACTTAAATTTGTACAAATATTTATAATAAATGAAAATATTAATTAGAGAAATATTTTTCCGCCAAGAATGTCATTATGAAAAATGTTAATTATTAACGATTTTTACATCTCTGTTTCGAAAATTGTCAGCTTTCTAAATAAGTATTACCAATGTACCAATAAAAGGTATGTGCAGAAATTATTACATATGTACATACCTATAAATCTACGTTAAAATAAGTAAACAAATTTAAGCGCTTCTAATTCTAACTTTAGATATATACATTTTATTACTTATTTAAAAAATTCTTAATACAAGTTTCTTCGTACTTTTTTCTTCGCTATTGGGTCAAGCATTTAATAAAGATTCTAAAACCTGATTTGTGGGTTTGTGGTGGTTCCTACCATTTACAATAAGTTGCAAATTATCAACTTTTCTCAAAAAAAGATTTAAAAAAATCTGTGTGCAAACCCCTTTTTATTTTAGTGTGGTAGAATCGAAAAAAATGTGGTAGATTTGAATAAGATGTGGTAGATTTTCCAATTCATATTTTATTGGGTATACATATCGCACACCGTCGTCAAAAGAAGCACAACTCAAAAATTAAATCGGGAAATATAATTGCTAGTGGATCGTACAGATTCCACGCAATTGGTGCAAAAATAAGTATAACATTAGTTTTCTAGTTAGAGAATATAATCATGAAGAAAATAATATTTTATTTGTATGCAAAAAAATCGACCAAATTATTTTCCCATTGCATAATACTTTAGCAAATATAAATAGGCGTATTTTTGAAATATTAGAAAGTTAAGGCACAGATATATTTAAAGCAAAATTTATGATGTACCTTTTTAAAAATCTATTGATTAATTTTTATATTTCAAATTACAATTGAGTTGAAATTCTAGAGTTATGTGAAAATTGTAAACAAATGTTCTGTCTAAAAATGTGGTAGATTTTAAGCCTTGTGTGGTAGATGTGGTAGACACCCAAATTTAAAAAAAAATACGTGGTTGATCTACCACACATGTGGTAGAAGCTTGCACACTGTTCTAAACGTATGTTTTGAGCAAATTGATGTTTAAAGCTAGCAATATATCCCATGTCCATTTTCCAAAACTATAATAATAAACATGGCAGTTTTTAAGCAATTTGGTTCCTGTAATTAAGGAAATATTGTAGTTTTGGCATTTTTCGAAATTACCATTTTATGAGAGGGACCAGGTTATTGTTCGACTTTTGTATTTTCAATACCCTGCTGCCCTAGATAAAAAAACCCTCGTACAGAATTTCGTTGAGATATCTCAACTTTTGCTAGAGTTTTCGTGTACGCAAATAAACGGACATTGACTAATCATCTTCTCTTTTTATTCTGAGCATTTTTATGTATATATACATACATAAGTAGTACATACGAACATAAATGTATGTATCCATATCGATTAATTTTGGTTGTTCCAAATATACGTTATTTGAAAAAAAGTTATGGTACCCTCTTGCAGAACTGCGTTGTAAATATGTTTAGGAAACATTTAAATTAATAGTTTATTAAAAAAGTTGCTCAAAGTAATGGAACTCCTCAACCCCTTAAAAAAAAAACAGGAACCCTTCTGAAATTTTGTTTTGAAAGTTTTCATATTTGAAAACTGAAAACAATCACAGTATACAGCAAACCAGCCATTGACAATATGCTTATTTGAAAACTAATACATGAAATGTTGTGAATATATAGGATTTTTTTGTCATTAACCCATAGGCAACAACTGGTGCAAAAGTACCTACAAATGTTTGTTGATATATTTGAAATGTAAATTTGAACAGCAAAATTCATAAAACAAATTATAATAAAACAAAAATATTGTTAATTACTACGTGGGAGGTGGGCGTGGTTATTGGCAGATTTCGACAAAATTTAACACTAACCTAAATTATACCAAAGGCAACTTCGACACCGACTTTCGTTAAAATAACTAAATTATGTACGAGTTAGCGTGCTTACAAACAGAGAGGGCTGAACTAGTTCATCTCGTCATTCTGAATATATGTGTATATACATACATACATTTTATACGGTTAACAAACGCGCTCGCTTATTTGCATAAACCGTCTTTACTTGCATTAATTCATGCATTATCCTCCTTCAAATGTGAATAATCGGCTGAACAAATACACACAAATTACGTGCATTTGAAAATTGGAGAGCTGTACCATAAGCTAAGTAATACTTCTTTTACCGCCTAATCGATGGGACCATTTTACAAAGTCAGCCCACCATTACTCACTCAAAGTTGTGTTCAGAACACGGTTTGACTTATGTAGGAACTGCATCCGGTCATAATTGCTAACGCTTCACGCTTCATTTGCTTGGAATTTCGTGTTTCTCGTTATTTTATTTTATGTGACTTGAAAATATTTTTCACTATAAGAAAATATTTAAATTGGATTTCATTTGGGTTAACGAAAACGACAACTGTGAAAAAATATCAACCAATACATTCAAACAAAATGCCAAATAAGCATGTTTACATTTTTTGTTTTGGCTACCTGGATCACTGTATACTGTGAAAAAAATATTTAGTACAAAAATAATTGTGATAAATCAATTTTGTATATTCTTCTGCGAAAAAATGTCTACAATCGATGATGTATATGTATACATATCAAGATGTGTCTGTTTTGCTCTACGGTTGCGATAAGTTGCTTTGGAATAAATAATATTGCACGAGTCATTGGCTTTGGGTTAGTGGCAGAAAACTTCAATACATAAGTACATATACTTTGAAATAAAATATTTGTTTTTGTTTCAATTCCAGATATGTTCAAACTTTAAAGTATAAAATATATCAACCCTGGGAACAAATTATTGGTACTGAATGGTAAAAAAAAGTGTGCATT